CTCAGTTTGGCTAGCTTTGGGAAAGCCAGATATGTTTATTCTTATTTAGTGTTGATAAACAGTTATACAACTATGTGATCAGCATCTTCCTCAGATGTGCTCTTTTCATGTTTTGGAAATAAATTCATAAAGTAACGTTAAAATTAGGTTTAACACTCAAGTCTGTCAAAGTTTTCTTTATTCTTTCCCAGTTTTGCAACACATGCCTAGCCACTAACTTTCCATCAACTGTGTGATTACAGTTGCTGAATCGTCATGGCTCTATCTTGATTCTTTTTGCTTGAAAGAAACCTGTCAAATGCAACTAAGTAGTCAAGAAAATGCAGGTTTGCATATCTCTTAAGCTGCTGATTTTTTTTTATCTGCATATCTTCAGAGCGTGGAAAAAAACTTGGCTGATATACCTGAGTTAAACTGTGGTTTGGTATGTTTATTACCTTCACTCCCTTAGTTGGAATTAAGGGGAGAGTACCTCTCTATGTGAAAACACAGGAGCAACGCCCCAGCAACAGACATGTTTGAGGGTTTGCAAATATGATGTAAACCTCAGTCAAGGAAAGGTTGGCAAGGATAATCACTATCAGAATTGGTGTCCTGATTTACTTCAAAGCAAGCTAATAGCTCAAGATAATTGAAATAGAGATTGATAACAGAAATTTCTATTTCTAAGGCCACCTAAACAGAAGTATTCTTTCAAATAAATTACACTCATAGATGGATTGCTCCTTTGCAATAAAATGCTTTGGCTTCAGGAGTCCAGCTCATCTTCAAATAAAATATTCAATCAGTATCTAGTGCATCATTTGCAGCAAAGACAGATGTTGGTACAGAATTCAGACATGTCTGTCAGAGATCAAGTAGGGGAAGAAGTGACTAGAAGATGGGTTAGCAGTTATACCAGGCTGCACAACCAAAATTGTGAAGGACAATTTTGATTGCAAGACCTCTTTGTATTTGCTTTACTGTGATCTCAGGTGTTAATTAGACTGGTTGATTCGTTATGCTGTTCTGGTGTGCAATGTGAGAGGAAGGAAACATATGTTTGTTTATGTATAGTGAGGAGGTACACAGCAAGGAAATTACCTCAGAGGATTGACTCATGGAAAGATTGTGATTCTTTAAGGGAACCCCGATGGACTAGGATAGTAGATCTGTAGATTGTGTAGGTGGATCAGAGTAATCTAAATTTAGTCCAAACTTCCTATGTCTTGACAGAGTAATTGACTGACCACTGATGGTGAAGTGAAGCTGTGAAGGAAGGGGTGTCTGCTGGTGCTTTAATGTCCTTACAAGTCAAGGCTTTTGTTAATCTAAAATACAGCTGAGTCTGAACCATACACCGGGTGGTAATCTTCAGTGTGATCGCAATAATTTTGGTGGTTGTAAGGACTGACTTGTTCTCTGACTTTTTAACCTGTAGGAATACAAGGCCTGAAGGGCTGATTCAGCTGAACTGGTTATCTGCTAAGAACAATAGTCCAGGTGTGATGGACTTGCTCTTCTCCAGAGATTGGCAGAGACTGGACTGAAGGGTGGCATGAGGAATCACTGAGGGTAGACAGGCAGACAGTCACTGAAGTATGATGATCCGTGGACATGAAAGAAGACTTTTATATACAGAGAGGTAAGAATGACGTAGCTGTAAAGACATTGACTTTGTGTAACTGACGGATGGAATTTAAAAGTTCTGTAAATCTACATATATTGTTACTATACAGAACTAAATTAAAGAGATGTCACACTTCAGAAACTAGTTAGCAAACTATTCTGACTTATTGAATAATTGCTGAGTCTAATGTACCATTACATACTTGGCAGTGTTGGTCAGGTGGGCCCAGATGGATGGCCCACTGGAGAAAGGAGCTGAGCTCCTGTGCTTGGGTGCTGTTACTCACTGGAGTGGGTATATGCAGTTTGACTGCAGGAAGAGTTGTGCACTGTTAGCCACAAAGGCTACAATAAATATGCATCTGTCTAAGCTTCAACAGCATCCTCTTTAATGCTATCATCAATCAAAAGCATTTTCCTATATAAACCCTTTGGAACCTTTGACAAGTAGGTAACGAACAATTACCTCTCATTTAAAATCTAGCAAGCAAAACTGATATGATTTAATTGTGTTTTGAAAAATTATTGTAAGTGCTTTGGGTTTTAAACATTGTTTTACTGTTAGTTTACTAAGACAATCACTTCTGAAATGTTAGGAAAAAAGGCAGAGACAAAGTTCTTTGCCCTGAAGGAGATTGCCATCTTGTGAAGAGACAGATGACGTGATACAGCCATGAATAACCAACAGCTTTACAAGGCAGCCTCATATCTGTATGGTTATAAAAACCAAACAGCTTCTTCTCAATAAATTAATTCTGTGGATTATTGACTTTGTGTTGCCTTTGAGAGGCTTTATATTACACATTTGTTTTTTAACGAAGCACTATACAAAGAACAATAGCATAAGGTTTTATTGGTTTGGTTAACACTGTGGCATGAACATCGTTAGAAAGGCTGGTATGTCTTGAAGCGCTTTTTATTCCACTAAACATTACAAGGCCAGATTTCAACAAGAGCAAGTTGAGGTTTTTGAAATGTTTTTTTGATAAGTGATGTATTTTTGGCATTAAGATCAGTTTTCTGTTGGGATGCCTAAGACATGTAGATATGTGTCAAATGCACCTAGATACTTAGGTACGGTAGTTGCTTCCAGATACTTATGTAGAATTTGATGCTTAGCTAGTTTTGACAGCCCTGCTGAATGCCTATCATCAGTATTGCTAGGCACTTCAATGTCTTCAAAAACCTGACACACTTTTAGGATGTGAGGGGTCTTATTAACTTCAGCCAGATGATTCATTCATACTTTTGGGCACAAGTACTTAGCTGGAAATGGTATCTGTGTTTTTCATTACAGTTTTGTCATCATTCTTATTAAATATTTGGCTCAGTCCTGTGGGTCAAGTGGTAACATCTTTAGATTTTATTCTTTGCAGAATAACACCTAGCTTTGACTATTAGCAAATGAAATTATGTGGTATGTTAAATAATGAACTAAACGGTTTCAAAGGTGTTGAACCTTTCTTAGCTACATCACTTTTATATGCCAGTGATGTGACTATAAGGCTCCTATTAGCAGCAAAATTAGCCTTTTTTATAGTAGCATAAATGAGAGAAAATCTGGATAACTTGGCTCAGTACAAGCTTGCAAGGTATTCCTGCCCAGCTGCTTCAGAAGTTGAGCACACTACCTAGCAGAATTAGAAGAGCTACAGGTGTGAGAACGATTCCTAAATCAATGCAAAGTACTAGAAGAGCCAATAAAAGAGATCAAACAAACAGGTCACCTAAATGTGAGAATTTTCCAAACGCACTTCACTTACTCAGCTAATTTAAAATATCACTGAACTGAGATGAATTCTCTAAATATTTTATCAGAGGAAAGATACAGGGTCTTTAGACATTGCTGTGCTACTGTCTAATGATTGAAAAACCTACTTATTAGGAATTAGGAAATCTGAATTCTTGTTATTCAAAAGATTAATTCATAAAACATAATTTCTGAAACAGACAGCTTGCTTTTCATTCTCTGAAACATGGAAAGCAACAAAGCCCTGAATACAAAATTCAAAATACAAATCCAAATCCATCATCTCTTCCTAGGATTCAGATTGTACATACTTTGTAACAGTAATTCTGTTAGCATCATTCTAATTTTAAAATAATTCTTTTTTTTGCTACATGTTCTTTGTCATATACCTCTGAAGTATTGAGCTTTTACACTCCGTGTATTTAAAGAGAGCTTCATCTAAAATTTTCCAAAACAGGTTCAAATTCTATAAACACCACATGGAGAGACATATTTAAAACATTAATTGATGCTTTACAGTGTAACCAAAACTGTTCCTTTTAGCCTAATTGCAACTGTATTGTAATAATTTATTGTATAATTTAATTCCTTTACAAAAGTTTTTTTTTAAAACTGAAAATGAAAGAAAAACATTACTAATTGTCACCACTGCTAATATTTCTTTCATTCCTGTGCTTGGCTCAATTATTCACTCTCTTTGTAGTCAAAACACCTTTTGAGTAAAACAGGAGTTTTGGCTGTGGAGGTATGGCTGGGCCTGACCTTATTTGTGTTTTTAGGTCTCTCTTTTCAACTGTCTGCCAGTAAATAAAAATTCACTTGGCCAAAGTTTATTTAAACCAGCTTTATTAGGTCAACAGACTGCAAACCTGAAACAGATGACAGGCAGAAAAATCTGTTCCTATGAAGTCAATAGGAATCCATCTCCCTAAGCCCTTTTTTACTCCTGGCACTGGCGATTTTTCTTGGCTGATTCATTGGAGGGCACTGGTTTAACTAATTTGTCTTGCATAGGTATCTTTCCCATTCTATGTCCTCTCCACTACTACAAAACAATCTTCACTTTAAAGGTTATTTCCTCACTAGATCTGTCATAAAGCTATTATCGTTAATTTGTACTTTAAGAGTTCCTTTCACCTTTTAAAAACTATGAGATACACTTCTGATTTATGAGTTATGATATGACAGCCATCATATGCAAAGAAGATTGTTTATACTTACCACAGATGCCTTTGAAAAAGAGGTATATTTCAGTCATATCCCTACTCCATCTGCTTTACATAACTATGTTCAGTATCATAAAAACCCATGGCAATCTGTATTTCCCGCTGTTCTCTAGAATTTCTAATAGAATGTTGTCCTTGTTCTGGAATATTCAGAAATCACATACAGAAATACAGAAAGCTTGTAATAGTCTATTAAATTCTGTGTTAGGAGTCGTTTCCATAGAAACCCACTTTTAATTTTCATACATAATTTTCCTGCAAGTGATAATTAAAAAATAATCCTCAGATTACTGTGACCCTCATTAAATATTTCAAAATTGTGTTTTTCAGGAAAAAAATAAGAAAAACAAAATAGTTTCAATGCATTTAGAAAAAAAAAGTAACACTATTAAGTATGAAGAGTAGAGTGTACCTACCTAAACTAAACAGCACCAGGAATTTGAGACATACAAATTCTCGTAGATCAAACTGTAGGGAACGAAGCTTTGCTACTAGCTCTTGTGCATGGCTCATAAGATTGTTGAGGGTGGCTCCAGCTTGGGATGCTATTACCGAATAATCCACCTGTAAAAGAGAATTGTGTTTCTGTCTGGTTGTCACACCTGCAGAACCAGTTTAGGATGCTTCAAGCGATCACATACAACTGGGATACTCCTGGATAAAAGAATCATTCTCAATTTAATGACGTTATCAAGTCAAGATGCTTTTATATATAAACCAATTTTAGCACAATGGTATGTATTGAAAATATTATTAAACCATGTATCTTAATGGTATGTCACATCAGTGTGAATGCTGGTTTATCTCTATTAGCTTTTTTTAGAAGCATTATATATGAGAACTGCTTAGGACACTGGTAGCTGTCCCCGTATCAGTTGTTTTATTTATTTGGTGTCTCTCATTCTCATTGTAAGTGTGTGATCTTGCGAAGAAAGACCGATGAAGTGAGCTTCATGCCTACACTGGGTGTATTAGTCCAGAGGGATGTAACGGTATTCACGGGAAACGGTCCAGTGTCCATAACTTGGCCAGAAACATCTATTCAAGCCCAGAAATGTCGGTGTATTCCCACAGGAAACAGAGGTATTGTGTGGGTGGTTTCTGTTCTCCTTTGCTACACAAAATCCTGGTATTTGTTGGAGTTGATTCCAACGGACTTGTTCTGGCGAGCCCTCCCCTGGAGGAGGAGCAGGCAGGTGCGTGACACAGGCCAGCTGCACTTGCATTGTCCTGAGCAGCATACCACAGTGCACGAAACTTTCTCTGGGGCATAGAAAAAGCAGGACTGCTCTGGGGGCCTGCTGCTCTTGACATGCTGCCTATCTGGGAGGCTGACCTGCCTATAAGCTTCCTGAAGTGACACTTGTATATAGAGATCCAAAAGAAAGCTTGAATTAATACACCATATTAAAAAAGGTAGTGTTCACAAGCAAAGTATACTCAAAGCCTGTCACAGCTGACACATCCCTGGGTGATCCTTGAATCTCAGGCAACCTTCCCACTGCTTGCATGCTGAAGCTGTTCTGGCTAATGCCAGTTTTATTAAGGGGACCTTTCCATGCAGATGGCTGTATCAGCCTCTGCCACTCTGAAGACATGCACGCTTTGTCATGGGATGATGCTCAGTGGAGAAGTGCTCGGGTACCGCAGCTTACGGGAACGCTGTGATGCAAAGGTGAAGCGTATGGGCTGGGGCTGGCGCCGGGGTGAGCTGGCTGCGAGACACGGCTGGTGGCTGTGAGACCAGGCAGCTCCAGTGCAGTGACAGCAGTGTGGAGCGGGGTGTAACTGGTATATCGGGAACCAGGGTGATCTGAACAACTGCTTCAGCTGAAATGCCTTCAGCTCAGCCCTGCTTTCACCAGAGTGTTAGATATCCCCTACTAGTGCCACTGTCCCATGGAAATGGCCCGGTGTGTTGCTTGCTCCTGTGATGAACAATTCCTGGCCAACTGGCTGAGACCTGAATGGGTTATTGACACATTTTAAAAATGCCTTTTCTTGCCTGGCTGCTCTAATATTACCAGCACCTTTCTCTTTCAGGAGCCTCCACAACAACCGGGAAATTGCTAACCGTACTTCATGTAAGCACACGCAAGTGAAGTCTGGCTCTAAACTGAGACTAAGCACAACTGTAAGTGCTCACTTTGGGTTAATGATTTGTTTAAAGGTATCAGTCTCTAACACCATCTTTAAGGTCTCCCATAATAAGGTAGTTAATAAAGAATGCCTAGGTACCACTAGAGGAAACAGACCAATACAGCAAAACTGTTTTTCCAGCCACTGATCCCTTAAAAATCTATTTTTTAAAAAACTGTTAAGAAACATGTATTTTGATTTTAATATTTTTTTTAATTTTAAAACTATTGAATTGATTTTGCTCAAGTATAAACAGCAGTAAAGCAAGAAAAAAAATTGGAAGACTTTAGACCCGACAAAATTTCAATCAGGAAAGATAAGAGAGATGATTGAAAGGAACTAAAAATAACTACTCCCAGTCATGACCTTAAGATAATCAATGGGTTACTGACTTTCAATACGACGTTTTACTTATATGTACTCTTAGCGTTCCTAAGACATTGACTGAAGACCACTGTACCAGAAAAATGAAGTTACATTTTTTGTATGGATGTTAAGAATAACACTGCCCCAACTCTGCAAAGCATTTACAGTTGTGTTTATGTTTCAATTAAGTCAGTAGATTATGCTTAAGTATCCTGTGAGGTAGGTTTTATTGCTCTCTTTTACACTTGGGAAAACTGAAATAGTGACATTAAATCGCTCACTCAGGGCCAAAGAAATCTGTGACAAAACTAGGATCTGGTGTTTGGAAATCCCAGCCAAACCATCTTTCAGAAACTACTTTCTAGTTCATCTGTTATTTCTCTCTTTCTGTATATACACTTACACATATTTCTTTATATATAAGTATACACTTACATAAATAATAAGAAAAAGTGAAGTAGCATACCTCAAATACTTTTTACTTGAAGAGCAGTTTAATATAGTGACATGATTCAACTGCTTCATATTGAGAAACTGGTCACATATAAGTATCAACTTTCACAACTTAATTTCCCTTTTGTAATTGCTAAGTTGGGGAAAAAAGCTCAAAATCCCTAACTGAGATTCCAGTTTGTGGGAGAAATATGCTATTCACTTCATAATAAGAAGTTAAGATGTCTGGATGTCAAGAATATCAGTGGCCTTAGTGCAGCGATTATGCCATAATGGAAAAACCCAGTAGATGCCTGGATCTCCCACCATCCCTCTACTGGAGAGCTCTCAGGCAACCTGCTACTCTTTCAGGTGCATTTAATATTTGCAGCACCAGCAAATTTGTCTGGGAGGCAAGTCCTCATCTGCCACTCACCAAGAGCAGGCTGTATTAAATTTTTATATTTATTGACATTTCATTACCATAATTGACTGCAGTTGGTTCTCCAGTAGAAGGCACAGGGCTGCCTCCTAAGCAGGAGAATTGGTCCCTTGAGTAGGATTTGCAATTAAAAACAACACAGAATGGATTTTTTTTTTAATTGTGTAAATATGATGAGTTGAATTTTCAGCTTTAACTAGAGAATACAAGGTGTGCAGAAGGCTTTTTTCAAGAGTGAGCAAAATTATGAGTCAGTGGAAAGACGACCCCCAAAGGTGTCAATCAGTTTATACAAAATCAACTGTGCATGAAAAAGCCTCAGCTAATGTCTGTTCTGAAAAAGTGGTTACATTAAAGAGCATGGTGTCCTGCTTGCTTGGTCCTGTATGCAGAAATTGACACTAAAAGGTGTAGTAACTTTTTTACCTTCCAATTCATTATTAAAAATGTTTTTAAAGACAAAGATAAAAACAGCCTGGATCTTCAGCAAAATATTTAATTGCATACTGAAGTCTTAGCATTTACTTTATATTGTACCATTAATTTCATTTAGTAAAATCAAATCCACAACTGGATTATTCTTGTGTCTCAATTAATGGTGTTACATTTCACAGTTGATTTTGATGTTGAAGATAGTATGTTGACTGGCATTTTTGAAAAGAGAAGCTTTGGTGAAGCTTCCACATAACCTAATTTGGAAGGAAAATGATGGGTGTAAAATTACAGCTGCGCAGACAAATGAAAGTGTGAATTTCTGCTGTACCAGTGCACAGTGCTATCTTGCATGACGAATATAGTAATGACGAAGAAGTAATGATAGAGGTTTAACTGGATTAGCTTGGTACCAAAGCAACGCAGACAGAACAGCACTGAATAATTTACACTGCTGCCTGTTGTCACCATTCTGGTGCTTAAGCTGGCATGTTTAAGATTAGAATCAACATCACTAGGCTATGTTGTAGTATACCATTTTCTAGCTGAAGTGCCTAAATCTAAAATTAGATACTCTGCTGCCACCTAACTTTGTGCTTGTAGTCCTCACAGCCCTCTGGGTGCCGAACTGCCCCTACGCATGGCTGGGACTACCCAAGTCATGACAGTAGCAAATAACTGTATGTCCAGCTCATGATACAGCTCTTCTTAGATTTATGGACTATGTGGCTTTCATCTACCTAAGGCAGCAAAAATGCCAAAGGCAGGATTTCTTTAGCTGGAGCCACTGAGGTATGGGAAATCCGGGGTCAAATGTCCAGTTTAAAGAGTGCATGAATTAAATAAGGCTGTAGCCTGGCATTTGGGGTATCTCTCTGAAAGTGAGAAATGTCAAGTTTCTTCAGGTAAATATGGCATATCTTGTGGATATCTTCTGATCATTGGTATTGAGCAGAAAGAGGGGGACCTTTGGCTTGGTTTGGAGAGGAAGGATTTGTTTGGTGCTTAACTCTAGGAAGAAACTTCAAGCTGGGAATCCCAAGCAGAAAAATGTGTGTAAGTCCCTTGGACAGGCAGCGTTCATGTCGTACCTCCTCAGCATTTCCCAAGGCTACCCCTCTTAGTGTTACCACCTAGCTTGCTGCTAGCCTTCCTGCTCCCTGCATCGCAGCAGTAAGGGCTGGGTGGGTGAGGCTGCAGCCTCTGCAAGAGGGCAGGGCAGTACAGAGGCACTAGCAGCAGAGGGAAAAAAAAAATGTTATTAGTAAGAGGGTCATAACTTATATGGGACTGCAGAAAGACATGGAAATACTGTGTACTTCTTTCTAAATCCTTTTCTTGATACACTTGAGAGTGACTTAAAAGTCCAACTCCCTGTACTGTCAGTGAAAGCAAATTAGGCCAGTGCTGAATGTTTATGAAAATACTACTTTAAAACAAATATCATAGTAAAATACTTTGAGTTCCACACCATTTAGATATTCAGCTATCAGATAATTTCTCAACTGATAAACAGGGGGGTAAGAGAGATGGAAGTGACGAATTCTGCAAGTTTTTTCTCACACAAAGGTCTCATTTAACCCAGTGAGATATTGTTCAAGGCAGAACAAAAGACAAACCTTTTTTTACAGCACAAAACTATACCCTGGGCTAAATAAATGCTGAGGCTGAAGACCAGAAATGCAGGCAGCACTTGTGCTTTTTTGTTTTGCAAATGATTTATCATGTTAATGAATGATTCTTGAAGCCAAAT